AAAACTGACTTCCTTTTGAGAACAGAGTACTGTAGCTTTAATATTAAGTGTAAAGATTCCAGGTCTAATGATTTAACAGCCTTATGTCTCATATTCTGCCTCTATGCCAAATGAATAAGTTAAGGAGAAAACTTTTTTTATTATTATTTTAAGTGCTTTTTTTGGGAAGCTTTTTGGTAGTTGATTTTTATATTTGATTTTAATATTGAATGACTTTGTTCCCAACTATAACTTTTCTGTTCCATGCTTTAGTGTGCATTTAAACTTGCTTGCTTGTTTGATATTTAAAGAATCTTAACAACCAGTCCATATGTAAAAATATTTTAGCATATTTAATTATTACTGTTACTAGTAACTAAATTTCTGCTTAGTTATTATCCTTCCTACATATTAGAAGAACCTTTGAGCCATAGTAGAAAAAAAAATCTATTTTTTTTAAAATAAACATGAGAAATCTCTTATATTCCCTGTATTTTGTTTGCTTTGGGAGAGATGTGAACACTCTGGAAATGAAATTCAATACTCTTAGTTCAGGCCGCTTCAACTTTGAATAAATACGCACAGGATTTAATGCAGTTGCACCATTGTATTTTAGAGACACACCCACATGGCGCTTGATTTCTTCCCCCTGCGTGCATCGCGTCTGTCCATCCCCACCCGCCCCCCAGAAGAAAAAAAAAAAAAGGTAGAGCAAACCAGGGAGTGAATATAAGCACGAGGTGTGCTTTGCAGATGCTCATGCGAAAATCCTGGAGTGCGGTCCACATGTCAGGCTGAGATAGTCACACAGCTGTTGTGCTTGTGTTCCTCTAGCAAAAGTGGCAAAGTGCATCAGGCGCAGCCTGGCTGGTGTGGTGCAGAATGGGGCAGCGCTCCCCACTCCGATGGGGCGGCTTGAAGGGTGGGCACAGTGGGGAGGCACAGCCACTAGCCACACTAGATGCTCACTGTGCTTTTGTTAAGTTTTCTTTTAGGGAGTCAGTGCAGAGTTAGTGTATTGTAAATCCATGACCTGACTATCTTGCCTGTTTGTACAAGTCCTTAAAAATGTTTTTAATATCCAGGCAGATAATTTGAAAGGGAGAGATGATTTGTTCTGAAACTGAACTAGTAGAGTAATCCTAGCTGGAATAAATCCTTTTTAAGCCACATGAGCAAAGCAAGCTTTAACATCTGGGAAAGTCTTCCAGGAAGGATGCAAATGTGGCATTGGAGAAATGAATAGTTTGTGTTCATATTTTTCTATAAATGTAGTGCAAGACTGACACATAGATAAGGTGCTTTTCCTCCTGGGATATAGTTCATATTATTGGTCTTTAATGTACACCCTGTCAAAAACGTTCTGAAAGCATTAGAACAACTAGCTGTATTTATATAAGCAACCGCACAAAGCTGTGTGTGGAATTTTCATTAAGTGAAAATGGACAGATCGTACAGTAGAGGTGGCCCAAAAAGATCTACTGTGTAAAGCTCTCTTTCTCCCATTCTCCCAACAAATACACAAAAAGCACTATACAGTGTCCTTTTCTTCAGGGATGAATAAGCACCAGATTCTTGTGGTACATGCCCTATATTGTAATCCTTTGCATGCTTTGGAGATTATCACATACAACCTTAACAAAAATTCTTCTGCTTTTTCAGAGTAGAACTGCTAAAATCTTGCTGTACCACATATACGAAAACACTGTGCACTGGATTTTGTTTCTGGCATTGTTCTTAAAGGGCATAGCATAAGCTCCGTCCTTCAGCAGTTGTCCTCAAGATGGCTGCTTTCCTAGGCAGCAGGTATGGCTTTGGTTCTGAAGCTGACTTACACTGGAAGGAGTCTCTAAATAGGGCTTGCTTGAAGGTTGATGCAGGGCACAAACATTGGGACAGAAGTATGTGGGATACTGGAGGGGAAGGTCGACTTTGCCTTTTTCATGGTAACTAGCCACTGGATGGGCTTAACCGTAATATCAAACTGCACCCAAATTTTGACATCAGCACAGGTTCAGGTTTTAACTTTATGTGAGTTGATTTGTTTGCAAACAGCTATATGTGGACTTTCTGTAAGGCTCAATAGACTTGTGTAGGAGGAGTTAATTTCTTAGGTAGGTTAGGTGTTACGCCATTATGATACCTGACATTTTCAACTTACCATAGTAGGAACATTGGGATCTCTATAGCGTTTGCAGTAAGGCATTTGAATCATTCTTGCGACTCTTGGTGGTTTTGTAATTTCTTTAGATATGCCAGGCTAAATCCTGACTTGGGAGAATTGCTAATTCTTCAGTTCATTGATATCACTTATTTGTAGTACTCTCTTACTCCAAACTACTACATTTTTACTGGCCTCATGCATGTGTTTCTTGATAGCCTTATGCGTTTCCTTATTTCTGCAACAGTTAGCTTGCTTAATGTTCTCCTTGCAGCCCTGCTCTGAATTGTAGTGCTATAGGGCAAAGAACACTTGTTGCTACTTAAAATACGTAGTAGTATTTGGTGCTCAGTATAGCTTTATTGAACAAAAGTTTTGCTTTCCTGTTGGAGCTGTGCTGTAGCTTCATACATACGGCTGTTCACTGGAGTGTAAAGAGAAGGGGGATTTGTGTTTTGGCATGGGGTTTTTTGTTGTTTTTGGTTTTGTTGTTAGTTTGTTTTTAATCATAATCTTAATTCCCCCTTGCAATGTTTCTCCAAGGAAATAGTCAACTTCATACAGAGTCAGTGTAATCTCTTGGAGTTGATACAGTGCTGGAGGAGAGCAGCTCTACTTGCCTACATATTTTAACAGGATCTTCCAAGCTGAAGTAATCATTTGGCAGAGAGGGGAATTTTTGGCTATGAGTTAAAGCTGATGTTTGCCTCTGATTTACAGACAGTTGTTTACAGTTTTCTATGTGTAAAACAGTTTGAACCCCCACACCCTATTTGTGATGCTATGTAATTTTTTTTATTATCTTCTACTTAAATTTAATTCTAGAAAACCTGCAGATTGGTTTGTAAGCAAACTGACAAGTGAATGAAAAATTTTGAACTGTTACAGCCTGATTCTTCAACCAGGTCTGTGTACATCTGCTTGTGCTTAGTCCTTTTGTGGGGAAAACTGTACAGAAATAGAAGTTCCCTTGTCTGATTTGCTGGTATATAACTGTGATTCTTGCTTTGGGGCTAAAATAACTCGAGTTCCTATTAAGGAAAAAATTATGTCTAACATAGTGCAGCTCTGGAAAGGCCTGCCTGGTGAACTTCCAGGATCTATGTCTTTGGTTTTGATGCTAGGGATAGCAGGTTACGTACAATTGAACCTCTAGGTAGCAAGTGTAATAACTTAGAGCTAGTTGGGACTCCATGACATTTCTAGAGAGTAGTGTATATCAGATATCATGTCTGGATGTAAAGGTTGCTTCTATCATGTTGTAAAACTTGGGAAGCTTGTAGAAGTCTTGAATCAACTCTTACAGACCTGGTAGTCTGTCTTGAAGATGTGTGCCTGATAATTACAAGAAGCAACTGATAATAAGTTACATACATACATGTATTTGTCTTCCAGGTTTCCTGTGCATGTTTAAAAATCTGTATGTAATGAGCTACAGTGTGCCTATAGGGTAGAAATTTGTTTATTTTTTTTCAAATCCATCATAAATATTGTCAGGGAAAGAAGAGGAGGATTTGAATTTCATTCGTTCAGAAGTGTGTTATTTAAGATTTCTGCAAGTATGCTGGTTTTGGCTGGGATAGAGTTAATTTTCTTTATAGTAGCTAGTATGGGGCTATGTTTTGGATTTGTGCTGGAAACAGTGTTGATAATACAGGGATGTTTTCGTTACTGCTGAGCAGTGCTGACACAGAGTCATGGCCTTTTCTGCTTCTCACCCCACCCCACCAGCGAGTAGGCTGGGGGTGCACAAGAAGCTGGGAGGGGACACAGGCGGGACAGCTGACCCCAACTGGCCAAAGGGATATTCCATACCATATGACATCATGCTCAGCATGTAAAGCTGAGGGAAGAAGAAGGAAGGGGGGGACATTCAGAGTGATGGCGTTTGTCTTCCCAAGGAACTGTTACGCGTGATGGAGCCCTGCTTTCCTGGAGATGGCTGAACACCTGCCTGCCGGTGGGAAGGAATGAATGAATTCCTTGTTTTGCTTTGCTT